TAATGGTGTTGCGAAGATGAGTTTTAATAATTCTAAGTTTAGAAAAAGGCCCCTAGGTCAACAAATCCGATGCTGGATCCGAGTACGGGATTGATCGACCTGGGAATTATCAGTGTGAAGCTAGCATAAACGAACGATGTGTTAGCTAAAAACGTTTTTTACTAAACATGCTCCGTCCATAAAAACTACGCCATTCGACTAAGAATTTAATTCTGCATCGAAGGGTGGCACTTTTATTCACGGGACAAACCTTGCAAAAATTCTATCTGGATTATAAATAGACATAAAGGAAACGAACAAAGATATAGATAGAAAGTTTTCAAAAGTTTGTTCCATGAATAAAAGTGTCCCCATTCGATGCAGGGTTAAATCCTCAGTCGAGTGGTGTAGTTTTTATGGACGGAGCATGTTTAGTAAAAAATTTGTTAGCTAGCACATCGTTTGTTCGTGATAGCTCTTTCGCGCTAGCTTCACACTGATGAATAATATTGATGCATGGTGTAATAATATCAACAGATTATTTGCCTATATAACTGTTTCAATTTTAAACTGTAACAGCTATCAAATTAAGCTCGCAAGACGTGATTGTAACATCATTTTTGAATTTCGGTTCGATCCATCTGTTGTTGTTTGTCATGAGAGTGATGCCACAATCCCGTTATACCCGGTATTCATCCGAAAGCAGACAATTAACTATATTACCGTATGCAGTTGACTCGATCTTGAGGGTGTGAGGGTTTCATTGTATTCATTCTTTATTTTTTTCAACAATAATTTCTACTCATGTTTATTGCGATACCTATGAGCGTCTGAAGGAATATAGCGAATTTGATTTATCTCATCAGCTTTAGCAGTTTCCGCCGATTCCGTATAGCAAACTTTCTGAATTTCCCAGCGTGGAGAATTTCCCGGAAACCGCTATAACGCATTAAATCGTCTGATAAATAAGAAGAACTATAATTGTGCACAAATTCATTTTTATTAAAAATGTAAGATTTATATAAAACAGCTAGAAAAAATTTGACCATAGTTCTCAAAATAATTTGTAAAATTAAGATCAATGAGGATCATTTTCAATAGTGAATTACATTATTGATTTTTTTGTATTTCATACTTGTTCTTTTTCTTTTTTCTACAGTAGATTGACATCGATGAAAGATACTCATTTCTATCAAATTTTAATGCATTGTCACACTTATTTTCATATTGAATCATGGAACAAAAATGTTTGATGCGTTTGAATTGAATCATTTTTCATACTTTAACAAGTAAGATAGTCGATGCATTTAAAGTGAAGAAGAATTTAAAAGAGAGAGAAATATTTATTCATTTGCTTCAATTAAATAAATGAACAGTTATTCGTTCTTATAAAGAAGTAAACATACTGAATTTCAACTTGTTTATATTCGTCTATCTTTCTTCCTTTTTCAATCAATATCGAACGATCATTTTTCAAGACTTATTTCTGTATCAACAACAGTCAGCTAATCACAGATCCTAAAATGCCGTAAGATCTGCTTTTTCTTCCGTTGGAACGAAATTTGAAATATTTACAATATTATATTTTTATTTGTTAATTTTAGAGAAAATCGTATTGTAATTAACAACATTAAATGACGTATCAATGTATAGAACACGTAGTACTTCCGATTATTCCCGATTGGGATGGTCTGATATGAAATTTATCTATGGTTGAATGAGACCTTTTATTCTAGGAAATAAAATCGAAAAAAAAAATTTTTGCAGCGCGATATGCATAGAGTGAGAGTTCCCTGTGGCGGGTTCTCTCTTAAATTAAATTAGAGATAAAAAAAAGAAAGCAAACAAATAATATTAAGTCAATCGAATATCAAATTGTAGGATTCGATGATTATAAGAGTCTGCTATAAGAAGATTACCATCACCATCGAATGCCAAACCTTCTGGACCATTCAATAGTTTTGTAGTGTTTCCTAAATCGGGTGAATTACCAATAATAACATCTCCATGTGATGCGCCATTGTACCATCGCATCACTCGATTATTCCAATGATCAGCTACATAGACTGTACCGAACAGATCGACGACTATTCCTGCTGGACAATTCAATTGTGTGAGATTGTTTCCGATGTCATTGTTACCAGCTACGACAATACCTTCTTCCATATCTTTCTCCCATTTCATTACACGATCATTCCAAGAATCTGATACATACACAGATTGATCTCGATCAACAAAAACATATGTCGGATGATTGAGTTGATTGAGATGATTACCTTGTCCATTGCCACCAGCGACTACCGTTCCTTCTCTATCATTATTATTATATCGTCTCACTTCATGTCTTTCTGTATCTGAAATGTAAAGTGATCCTTCGTCATCCATAGCCAATCCACGACATCTGATATTGTCTTTAATTATCTGCAGGTCAGTACTGCTTCTAGGACACCATTGCAACACTCGTCGATTCTTATAATCGGAAATAATAAGACGTTTTGATTCTATGTCACAAATTACATCTGAAGGTTCAGACAATTGATCATATTCATATCCATTTCGATTTTTATCAATTAATATTTGCAAACTTTTTGTCCTTCGGTTTAATAGCATAATACGATGATTCAAACTATCAGCAATCAAGATACTTTGATTATCGCGGCTCATACACAGACCTTGAGGACAGTAAAGTTTATCCATCGTAGATTTATAATTCTTACCACCGGCAATGATAAGACCGGTATATTTCCATTTTGCATTGTGTGCAATATTGGGTGTTCCTACAAGACAAATATATTTTATATGTTGAACAGTTTGACTGAACTTAACATGAATTTGAAATTAAATTTATGCTGTAGATAGTCATATTGGAGAATATGATTTACCAACTGCTGAAGCGGACTTGTCTTTTTTTAAAAATATTATCCTCAAAATACTATGACCTTCTCTGAAGTCAATAAAACAAAGAATCAGACTTACTAACTCTACTATTTGTATTTATCATCATTTTGTTGAGGTAGACTGGTTCATGTTGCTTTATTCCATTTATAGTTAACGGTTCCTGCATCTGATTGCTTTCTGTTAACACGTCGTTCGTTATGAGTTGGAAAAGATCTCGAACATCGATATTTTCTTTAGCGATATGTTTCAGTAATTTTTTACTAAATAAATCATCACGAGATGTTTTATTAGCAGCACAAGATAACTGGATCAATGTTCTTTCAATTGGTTGAATTTCATATAGACCTCTACCTCCATATACACCTAAACAAAAACAAAAATTGTCTTATAGAGTCATTAACAACATGACTTACCACGTGATTCTGATTTACCGATTCGCCAATACGGTTTACAACAGTCCAAAATACATACAGTTGTATGCGATGAAGTTTTCTCTAGTAGACGCTGAAATATGCTGTCAAAGTTACAACCGATGTCCAGAACATCTCTATCAGTATATATTCTATCATCATAAATAGGTATTAAATAATTTTGCTTGTTAACTTGATTAGCATGACCAGAATAGTAGAACGAAACTAAATCATTATCTTTGATGTTTTTAGCGAATTTTTCAACATTTCCCAATAACTCTTCGCTTGTACGTACATCAATATATAGTGTAATTTTAAAATTAAGTCGTTTGAGAATAGTTGACAGTTCTACAGCATTGATAATAGATTTACTTAATTGATTGTTCGATCGATGGTAATTTCCATTACCAATAATCAGTGCTAATTTTTGATAATTATGTGAAGTCTTTGCAGAACGTTCCATAGTAAATCTATATCTATAATAGGATATGTAAAATAATCTTTGTGATTCGAAAGAAAACAAAACTAATTTGATTTTACAAAACGATGGTATGGGAGATGCCGAGAACGACTTGGATGATAAATCTAATGAAGTTAAACTTTATCTTAAAACAAAATAAATTACCGAAATCATTCTTTGTGACACTGTTTTTGTTTATTTATTTATTGTATAATTTGAAATAGATTTATAGTGTCAAACAAGACAGGACAAGAATACAGGTTATCAAAAAAAATCTTTTCATCTTCTAAATGTAGCAAAGTTTTAAATAAATCAAAAACGAGACCGAACTTTATTCATTAACTTTATCTGATTCTTTTTTTTAACAGATGAGAACATTTCAACGAACTATATATATTTGTAGAAACAAAAAAAAAATTTTTTTTTCAATTTAATCTGATTTGATTGTTTAGTGATGAAAAGATGCCTATGCTACAAGGCCATACGAAAGGAAGAAAAATCCATTTACGTGATGATCAAGGGAATTTTTTCACTGTTTGTAAAGAATTAATGGATTCTGTTTTCTCTCATTTGTGTACAGTAGTTGGAACGTACAAGGTTCGATTTGTTTTGTTATGCCATTTCTGACATATCCTGAGAGGGAAAATGAATACAAGAGATCATCACCCTCAATTGGCTATAATTCCAAGGTATTTCTGTCTTACATAAAACTAGATGCTTAAAATTTGGCAATGAAGAAATAATCCAATCTTTTCCATCTTCAATAGATCCTTGAAGAAATCGAATAGTCTTTACATTATCTAATGTAACACTTGTTTTTTTCCGATGATGAGTTATCTGTTAGAGTTTTAGGAAAGGCGTCATAAGAATCAAATCTAATTAAAGTTAACTTAGGCATTTTCATTTTGAGTTCTTTTTAGAAAATTTCTATCATATGTACATCCTCTAGACAATTGAATAGATTTGATTTTAGACCATATTGGAGAATTTGTCTGTAAAATTTCACAATTATTTTATTTAATTTCACTAAAATCTTGAAAACAATCATAAATATTATTGAAATAAAATGGTAATGTATAAATACAATCACCATGCATTCCAAAACCAAGAAATAAATATTATTATGAAATGTAAATGAAGGTTGTTTAGTCTAGAGATGAAATGTTTTCAATTCTTTCATTGATTTCAAGAATTGTCGAAGTTGTATACTTTCAAAATTTTATCTTCAAAAATAGAATTGAAGAAATGGATTAGGAAAAATCTTTTCTTGTTTGATTTTTAATGAAGACAAATTTTGAAATAAATCATTTTCAATGATATATCTTAGTTTTTCTTCTGACAAGAACTGAACACGTAACCTACATAAAATCCTCAACTCAGGGAACAGAGCCGCTGATCACCAATTCCAATCAACCACGTCCACAAACCCACCTCAAAAGAACCAATCGACAGCCCCCACTCGCGGTCATCCAAGCGCCCATACTTTCACCCGAGCCTCCCCCCCCCCTCATGCACATACCTCCACCCATAGTTTCGCCTAAGACCCCCACCCTCACCCTCAAGTTCTGAGTCTAAACACGATTGTGTTGGACATGAAACTTAGATCTCTATCGAATAATGTCATCGTTCAGAATGATTACCTAATGAAGAAAATCAGCACGCGCATGTCACCTCCTTACCCTCTAGATATTACTTCTCCAGTTAGGCTGAGTCTAAAGATAAATGTGTTCTATTTAAAACTTTGATTCTCTATCAAGTGAAATTGTTTGTGAGGGTGATGATGGAAAGAAACGGTTCCATAACCTCACTTTCATCCTCATCACACAGAATATTGCATTTTATGTATCATCGATCTGAGATAAAAATTGAAAGAACGAGTTTTATTCTTGCCTACTTTGTTAAAGACACTCAGAGAGAGAGTACGTGCAGTTTTCGAGCAAAATTCAAACGATGAGCTTGGTGTTGGATCAAGCAAGAGCCCTATACACCCGATACTGTGCAGCTGTTGCGCTATGCGTCGAGAAAGGTTGGCTTGATTACGAAGCGCTTGTTGCTCAGTATTGGACCGAATTTGGTGCCAATGGAAAGCAAGTACACATGCAATTTCTATGAGAGCTCTGTTTTTTTTGTCATATTTTTATTGAGGAATATATCAGTGAGCGATATTCTCGCTCATCGCGCTAATTACAAGATAACTCGTTTTTTTTATGACAAAATAGTTCAATTTCTTCGCAATAATCGAATGAATTCACGACGAAATTCACTAAAGGTAATTAGATAGATAGGAAAATCTAAGATAGGCGATGTATATAAAAGCGTATCAAAGCTATTTATGATACGACGACCCAAAATAGTTTCAGAAAGATTATTATAAAAGAATCCATAACAAATTGATGTTGGCGTACGTGCTAAAATAAAAACAAGACTCGTACTTATAAGTGCTATTGAAATGGATCGATGTGGAATTTTTGAATTTTGTATTGTGGTTATTTGTCGTAATTTTCCTAAATGATATACTGAAATTGAACTGAATATCATCATAAGTATAAATGGTATAATACTATAAATAAATATATGTATTTTATCATATAATGGATAAACTTGATAGAATTTTGAATCCATGTTAACTTGACCATTTTCATCTTTATAACAAACAAATATGAAAAAATGTAAATTATAAAGAGTAAAAACTCCAATAATACAAGCGATGATAATTAAAACACTTTTTGATCGATTAAACCAAGTATTTGGTTGTGTGCGACTTAAAAATAAATATCGATCAAAACAAATAAAAACATGTAACCATGCCGATACTTGAGTTGTAAAATAATTAAGAAATGAAAAAATCTTACATGATGCAACTGTATATGAGGAAAATAATGTAAAACCTTGTACAAGACCTAAATAATTGTCAAGATTCCATCCATATAATCCAAGAAAATCAATTAATGCTAGTACACGCATATAATGTATTATTGGACGTACTTTTGTGTTTTGAAATGCTGGTCGATATAAGACAATGAATGTTATTAATTTGAAGACTGAACCAAGAATAATCATAGATAAACTATGATAACCCAAATACCTAAGATCACTTAAATATGAAGATGTTTCTGTAATATTGGACATATTTCCATTATTTGTCATGATTGTATTATCGATCTTCAATATTTTCTCTAAAAAAGAAGATGGTTTTCCATGTTCTTTATAAAATTATGAGAAAAGAACCGTTCTTACAATTTCCACCGTTATGCATCTATGTAAAACATCTAAGTTGTTTTCAAATCAAATAATCAAAATAGACGAACCAAGGTAGTAGATTGATGTGACAATTTAGCGATGAAAGAAATTATTATATAATTGAAGCATAAAAAGGAATTATAAAGAAGAAATATAATGAATGAATGAGATGTTAAAAATATCTTGAAGATCAGAATAACCTTCTATTTAATCAACATTCGTCTAATGAATATTATAGTAAAGAAAATAAACTATCATTTGATTAAATTTAGATAAATACAAATTGTTTCATTGTTTTTTATTCGTTTTTCAGTTGAACTTCGTTAGAGCACGGGATATTCGATACAGTCAAATGATAGATAACGCTCGTCGAGAATGACTCGCATTACCCTCGACTGAAAAGATCAATGGAAGATATAACAAGTTATTATTGTATTTTTCTTGATTCTGCGCAAGAAAGCATCCTTTTCAATGTGAAGTTTGTTTGTTTTTCAATTGGAACAAAACACGTTAAGGATATAACCCAGGTCGAACAATCCGGCATAGAAACGGCCGGTTCCGTGGTATTTCGGAGATTTCATGGAAGCAGTATTCCGGTTGAACGGATCTGGTGACCGGATTCATCTAGTTTGGCCCGGAACCGACAGGAACATCTCAGAACTGGTAGCCGGATACGGTCGTCTCATTTCTCCATTGAATTCCTGGCATTTTCCGAGCGGATTCTGCCTGGAACCGGCAAGTTTCCTCAAGGATTTCGTCGGAAATTCATGGAATCCTGCTTCCAGGAACCATTGTCCTGGGAATGAGCAACTACATGAGAGAAGAGAAATAAAATGTATTACCTTTAACTACTCTTTAAACAAGGAAATAATGAGTATAAACGAGTACGAATAAGAAATGTGAAACAAAAAAAGTATTTTATAGTACAGTTGAAAAGAAAATTTGCACTTATATTACGGAAAGTAACGTTCATCCTTCGAATTCGCCGACCCTTTTCTGAAAGAATTCTTCTGGTGCTGAACATGTTCAAACGGTTTGAAAAACGCATAAGACACTGCGATTGTCACTAGTCCTCAGATGAATCATGACACTGTGTCACGCATTGTAGTTCATAGAAAGCAAAGATTGTTCTTTTTTTCATGAAACGAACCAATCAGGCATTTGTCAGTGAGTAGTTGTCCAGTGTGAGCTGTGTTTCACAGCTAGCCGTTGATACATAATAAGGATTTGTGATTTTTTCATATACAAAAGCATCTTGTTCATATTGAGTCGGTTTTTAATCGAAACTTGTCAAAACTGTGTGATTTGCAGTACATATTTTATTGTTTTCTTCAATTTAGAAAGTTGACAATCCGCAGAGCTTACTCTCGAAGCTCGAAGAAGTATCAATCATGTTTCTTCAAAACTTTTATACCTGCGATAATCCCTATGTCGTCAAACAATAATAGTAACGTAGTTGGCCGCGTAGCCGCAGTATGAGAGAGAGTAAGTGCAGTTTTCGAGCAAAATTTAAACGATGGGCTTGGTGTTGGATCGAGCAAGAGCCCTATACACCCGATACTGTGCAGCTGTTGCGCTATGCGTCGAGAAAGGTTGGCTTGATTACGAAGCGCTTGTTGCTCAGTATTGGACCGAGTTTGGTGCCAATGGAAAGCAAATACACATGCAATTTCTATGAGAGCTCTGTTTTTTTTTGTCATATTTTTATTGAGGAATATATCAGTGAGCGATATTCTCGCTTATCGTGCTAATATCCCATGCGTTGATCAAGATCTTACGACTACTGATCTATATGATTGGAACGAAATGACTTTTCTATTAGCAGCTCAGAAATACTATTGGAAACCTGGATCAGATCACGACTACCATGCTTACACAATTGGATTTCTAGTTGATGAATTAGATTCGGACTTTTACGTAAGAATACCTAATGACGAAATTGAAGCACCTGTTGCTCCTCTCATTATAAAAGAAATAAGATAATCGATAAGTTGAGCAGCGCTTATTGATAAAAACTTCTATTCTGCTTTAAGAATAATGCAGTCGGTACCAATCTTCCTCCGATAGTGCCAATTGTGGCGACAGCTATCACATGCAACGATGCTTTTCCTATGCAATCAGCCAATAGTGAGAATTATGTTTTCAATGATCCTCGACTACATTATGCCGTCTTGCCCGCTGTTAACGGTGTTTCAAATGTTCATACGAGAATGTAGCACATGGGAACGAAGTCGATCAAGCCATCTTTGGCATAGTATCAACATTTGCAAGAAGTGGGTTTCATTTGTATGATAATCTTTTCAATGTACTGAGCGAAGATACGTTTGGTTATAAAGGTGTAGTTGTCGTAAAATCAGATCCGAAATACTTTGTCTTTTGATATGCTAGGTATGGGTGGTAGTCTCCCGTGCGCTTCTTCTTCATACCATTTAGCGTTTGCTCATATATGTAATCAGTTGGACGTAAATATGTTGGCGATTGATCCACGAAGTATGCGGTTTTTCAAACCAATCAAAGATATTCTCAAGAAAGAAAACTGATTTCATGTCTACTAGTAAGAAATCCCTATTACTCTATTGACTGATCTTTCTCTATACTTTGATGATGGTTATGGTATAATACAATCGTTAACAGTTTGGAAGAAGGGTAGTTCTACTAATTCTCATCGTCGTAGTAATAAATAACAAAACTATTCGAAAATAAGGCATTGTTGTGAGCAATTGAGTATGATCCATGTGAAATAAAAACATTCTTTTCTTCGGTCTTAGCGACGCCTGTCATAACAAACGGTATTTCAAATGTCCATGAAGGATATAAACATCAATATTTGTGTTTGTCATACCTGAGTGCACGTATTGAAGGCCTTTTCTTTTTATCGATGTCTCTTCGAAATCAATTACATATTTACACTACAATATCAACGTTTTGACTCGCACACATTTTCAACAAAAATTTGAATAACAGATCGTTTTTCATTGGTAAGTACTTTAGCAATAAGACGAAGTCGATATTTATATTATAATCTATGAATAATACAAATGAATAGGCACACACGCCAATTGACTTGTGTGTAACCAAGAAGCATTCAAGAGAGTGCCAATGATATCTATTATTCTTAGCTATTCTAGATTATTTATTAATTTCTTGGTTCGACGTTAATAAACACAGAAGAACTCTATTTGACGCATTTCATCCATTGCCCAACACGAACCTTCATAAATGAGCCGTCAGAATGTTCCCGATAGAGTTGTACACGCCAAAGGGTTCGTTGTGTACAACTTTATTCTTTGAGAAAAGAAGTAGGTCGATTTGATATATTTCTTATCTAGTATCGGTGCTTTTGGTGTATTCGAAGCGACCGATGATATTTCTGACGTCTGCAAAGCCAAGGTGTTCAAGGTGGGTCAAAAGACTCGTGTTCTAGCTCGTTTTTCACTTGGTCGTAAGTAGATGACAAATGTTTTATTGATTGACGTATTAAATGTAAGTCTGTTTCCTTTCTAGCTGACAGTAGCGGCCCCGTTGACACAATTCATGAAGCACGTGGTTTTGCAGTCAAGATGTACACTGATGAGGGTATACTCTTTCATGGATTGAAATAAAACCATCAATATATTATCTATGACAGGTATTTGGGATTTAGTTACTACCAGTTCGCCTGTGTTCTTCATTCGAAATCCGATTTTAGTACGAATTTGTTGTTGTTGTTGTTGTCATCGTTGTCAGCTATATTTCATTCGTTTGCTTTAAGTTTCCTGAATTGGCTCGTGCGCTGAAACGTAATCCGCAAACAAACATGAAAGATCCCAATGTATACTGGAACTTCATAGCGAATCATGTTGAAACTGTGCATCAAGCACGTATAATCGCATTCTTTAAATTCTTTTCTTTTGTCGACGCTCATCAATGTAGATCATTATGATTAACTCTGACCGTGGCGTACCCGACAGCTTTCGATTTATAAACGGATATGGTGCACATACATTCAAAATGATCAACAATAAGAATGAATATGTCTGGGTTAAGTTTCACTTTCGGGTAACTATCCAGTAACCACCATTTGTAATGCATTTAACCTGTTGATCGTATTTCATTTCGTAGTGCGATCAGTGCATCCGGAGCGGAGGTACGAGAAAAGTGAAACTGATGCCAGGCGAACATCCAACTTTGTCGGAAGCTGATTTATCCGAGGCAATCGCTGCAAAGAATTATCCCAGTTGGACACTGTACATTCAAGTAAGTCATTTGCCACATGTTTTATACACACGTACGTTACTTTGAGCGCCATAAGGTCATGACTGATGAGCAAGCCAAATTGTGTCCATTTAATGCATTTGATATGACGAAAATATTCTCGCACAAACTATACCCTTTACGTAAAGTGGGTAAACTAATACTAAACGAAAATCCGACTAATTACGCTTCTCAAATTGAGCAAGCGGCTTTTACTCCTGCCAATTTACCGCCTGGTATCGATGTATCGCCTGATCAAATATTGCGAGTATGCACTTCGAACATGCTGCATAGCACAGGCAATCAGATAACTCTTTTTTAGATGCGTATATCTGCCTACATCGATGCGCAGCAACGTCGACTCGGCCCAAACAGTCGACTCATTCCTGTCAATAATCCAGAAACGAATCATAATTTTCGAAAAGGTAAATCTCAGCATACTAATTTCATTCAAACATTATAGACTACCTTACAGTACACCCTGACAGTCTTAATAATGAACAAGCAGTGGCTAAACACAATGCTCATGCTGGACCTGGAAATATGCCCTTTGAAGATGATTTTTACCAACCACGTAACTTCTATCGAGTACGACTTTGATTCCTTTTATATTCTAAGAAAATACGGAATAATTTTCTGTTTGTAGCATGTGTTGGACAGCCAAGGTCGTGCGCATTTGATCAACAATATTGCCCGAAGTTTATCACAATGTACTGACAAAAATGTCATTCAGCGTACGTTGAATCTTCTATCTAACGTTGATATCGATTTTGGACGTGCACTAACAACGAAAGTGAATGGCTAACGAAACGTATTCGATTCGATTTTTCAAAATAAAAAAACTTTCATTTTATAGATTTTGCTTATACATAATCACTATTGAACAGTAGTATTTATTATTATAATTAATTATTTAAATATAGAAGATGCATCCACTGACACGCCAAGCTTGACTCAAACTTTCAATGTAAGCGCGTGCCAATAAGGTTTGTTAATTGAGATGAATGTGTTTTAATCCACCATATAATAGATGATTTTTGAAAGGCTTGTCTGTAAATCGATGATGGGTAAATGAAAAGTGGGAAAAAAGTCATATGGGAAATATATGAGAAAAAGTAACTAGTATTGCAATTCACGACAAAGCCAATAATAGGTTGTGGTAACGAGGAAACAGTCATTAAGAACGATCCGAGACATTGTTCTTTTAGTTTTTGTATTTCGTTGTACACGCAAAATAATAATACATTCTCTTTCTGCAATTTTGATTTACTTTTCGACACTGTATAAATTAGTTTGCCGATTGAATAACTATTCAGAAAAAACGGAATGAGATGGTGAATAAAAATCAACATCATGAATAAAAATATCTATGTAAAACGGAGAAAGTGTGCTGAGAGGCAAAGGCAAATATGAATACTTTTTGTTTGATGTTAGGACGTCGAACAGCATTAGTTGGCACTTGCTTAGATTGTCGAAGGCGGAGAATATTAATGTATGCTGTTGACCATTTACTTATAAATGTAAACGCATTAATTGTATAGGATGCTGATTTACATAAAATATTATTGACCTTAGATGAATTATTCAAACGGATATAAATTATTTGTACGACAAGACTAAGCAGCATTATTTGATTGGCAATACACGTGAATGTGAGAATGTAAACAAGAAATCTACGAAGAAGTGTTGAGTGTAAGAGAGTTATTATTGAAAATAGGTTACTTAGTAAACCAATAGAAAACATGAGAATCGATAAAATTAGATAGATTCTTGCCGATGTTGATGAAATATTTTCTACTGACTCACTCTCGTCCGTCTGATCGTTTTATGCTAATAGAGTTTCCATAATGAATAGCCAAATTGCGCTATTCTGTATTGACATAACGAACCATAAGAGCATTGTTGACATTGACATACATAATTAAAACGATTTTTCAATTTATTCCGATAAATACACAAACCACCATTTAAGCCTGAAAACTAAAGAATTCAATCAGAAAGATCCTTCAATAAATTCCTTACAAAATTCGCATTGATCATACTGAAAATCGTATTTATAGCAAAGTGCTGACCGATGCTTGAAATCACATAAGCACATATATAATTGTTCATCATAAAAACACCGAACGTCAGAATTTCGACATGCCTGATGATATCGCTTCAAAAATAGTATTAAATTAATAATTGAATCGTAGCTACGTTTATCCGATGGAGCCAAATTATCAAGTTCTCGAACATGAAGACATCGATTGGTTTCATTAAATGTATAAGTGTCCATGTCTGACAAATGATAAAAACGTTGTGCAAAGTCAAATAAAAGATAAATACTATAATTTATAAATGATCCCCATAATGATATGGCGAACTAATTGTTGCATTGAGCATAGCCACAACGTATTGATTGGAGATAACTAATTCATTTGAATACATATTTCGGTAGTTGATATGCAACGTCATTGCTATTGCTGAAGAAAAGGGTGAGAATATTCGCATCGGTCTTGTTTTCAATTCACACCTATTGCAAATAGAAAAAGTGACATGTCCATCAGTTCTTTTCGACTTATTCGATTCGATTCACCTGTTTCCGAAAAAGTTCGTCGGACACCAGCAAATATAATCTATAAAAGCATCGTCATAAACATCTACTAACACGAAATACGTAATTCCATTATTTAAACATGATTTGCTTGACGAAAGACCATACCGATTAATCGGACAAAGACACAGAAAATCTTTATATTGATCGATTCCATTATAAAACGTTGCACTGCCAATGACATGACAGTTTTAAATATGAATTTCACAAGAATTTATCATCGAATTCGAACATGATTTCGAACGTTTTGGATTTAGTATGATAACGAGACGAAAAGTTCGTAGAAATGGATATTTGATTGGATGACGATGTACACTGTATAGTTTAACTAGATTTTGACCAACAGTGAAGACGAAACCGTTGTTTTGTTTTTAACGGTCATGCTGTCCAATCGAATGATAGTTTCATATGATCAATTATTCTATGTTGATATTGAGGAGATATTACGACTCTTATACTGTTGAAGTTCTCTATTGCCGGATTGAGCGCCATGAGCTTGATGGACATAGACAAACAAATTGTAATGTTCTGGATCTTATCACTTCAATTGGTATCCCACAATCACAAGCCCAGACAAACTGATCATCAATAGTATAATCATAGTCTTCGTTGTCGGACTTCGTAATTTTAACAACAGCTTTCTTAGCCTTCGTCGAATATTTATCTTTCGAAGTTACTGGAGCATGACATGTTTGTTCATCGGAGCCATACCGAGGGCATTCTTTAAGTTTATTGCAGCGAGTACTTTTCCTTTTGAACAGGCTGGATCGTGAAAATTTGCATTTGGTCCTAGATATACATAATGCACAATCAAATATTCCTGGCTTGCAATAGCGTTTAGTTAATAGATTCGCGGGATGCTGACAGTATCTGTTGGATTCATCTTGACCTCCTAAACAATCAACTTTTCCATCTGCAAGCAAATGATGCTTCATCTTAATGTCGATCAAGTTCCATGTTGTGACATTTTGACACACCCATCGATAGCATTCCATTCATCATCGCAAATACTACGCGGGGGAATACAATTCCCATTTTGTAATGCTGTATCATTTCGATCATATTGGCTCCAGTTCGGTGGACATTTCATCGATGCCATATGGCGCGCATGCCAGAAAGAATTACAAAGATCTTGATATTTGAATGTGAATTCATTATTAACTAAAGTCATGTCGTTAGCTTGTTGAAGTAGTTGACAACCTGCATCATTTGCTTCTGCACATGGGATAGATTTCCAGTTAACCTGTTGGTACTCCTCATCTGAACCATCAGCACAGTCCGCTTGCCCATTACCTATAACTCCGAAACTTAACTAGTTAATTCAAATCTATCTGTTCAAAATACTGGCACTCATCGATCAGATGTAGCATAATCTTTTCTGGAACAGTTTTACACTGATATCGATCGTGTAGAAACACATCATTATCATTGATTTGGACGTTTTCATCTGACCCATCTAGACAGTGTAAATAGCCATCTAACAGTCGATATTTTGAAATACACCGAGTTGAATTTGGGCATTGATAAAAATTCTGAGGATGTCCTTCACACGGGTTCGTTTTTAATTTTATTCCGAATAAACCATCGAATGGGATGGACCTATGTCGGAAAGCATTGGCGAAAAGAAGTGTGGGTATTTATAAATCGGAATCAATTTATCTGTAGTTTTACATTTTTTCGTTAGTTCATGTTTTATATCAAACGGTTGCTGATGCGAAATTTCCTTCTTTAATCTGATGTAGAGACGGATTAAGTCAGCACAAGGTAAATGTTCTTCACAGTTCATAGACAGAGTTTGATAACATAGCTGTTGATCTAATTTCAATTGCTCACCGCTGCCGTCCAAGCAATCAAATTGTCCATCGAAGAGAAGCTCTGTCATACTTGATCTGTACAACGCTTCAAATGTAATTTTACGCTCACTGCGAAGAGAACATTGCGCTGCTTTTGTGAAACACGATCTGAAAGAGAGTGTTGAAGTGTGTAGGGGCAGAAATTTGGACCCAGCGCCCCCCCGCCCCCCCGCGGGGGGGCGGCGCGGGGGAAGCCCCCGGCGCGCACGCGGGCGGGCGCCGAAAA